AGGTTGGGACTTGGAAAATTTGGGAATTTAAGGAGTTTGGGAATTTGAGGAGGTTGGGATTTAGGAAATTAGGGAATTTGAGAAATTTGGAATTTGGAAAGTTTGGGACTTGGGAAATTTGGGAATTTGAGAAGTTTGGGACTTGGGAGGGTTGGAATCTGGGAAATTTGGGAATTTGAGGAGTTTGGGATTTCAGAAGTTTGGGACTTGGGGAGTTTGAGATTTGGAGAGTTTGGCATTTGAGCAGTTTGGGACTTGGGAAGGGTGGGATTTGAGAAATTTGGGAATTTGAGGAGAGTGGGACTTGGGAAGTATGGGACTTGGGGAGTTTGGGATTTGAGAAGTTTGGAATCTGGGAAATTTGGGAATTTGAGAAGTGTGGGACTTGGGAAGGTTGGAATCTGGAAAATTTGGGAATTTGAGAAGTGTGGGACTTGAGAAGGTTGGAATCTGGGAAATTTGGGAATTTGAGGAGTTTGGGATTTGAGAAGTTTGGGACTTGGGGAGTTTGAGATTTGAAGAGTTTGGCATTTGAGAAGTTTGGGACTTTGGAAGGGTGGGATTTGAGAAATTTGGGAATTTGAGGAGTTTGGGAATTTGAGAAGTTTGGGACTTGGGGAGTTAGGGATTTGAGAAGTTTGGCATTTGAGAAGTTTGGGACTTTGGAAGGGTGGGATTTGAGAAATTTGGGAATTTGAGGAGTTTGGGAATTTGAGGAGTTTGGGACTTGGGGAGTTAGGGATTTGAGAAGTTTGGGATCTGGGAAATTTAGGAATTTGAGGAGTTTGGAATTTGAGAAGTTTGGGACTTGGAGAGTTTGAAATTTGGAGAGTTTGACATTTGAGAAGTTTGGGACTTGGGAAGGGTGGGATTTGAGAAATTTAGGAATTTGAGGAGTTTGGAATTTGAGAAGTTTGGGACTTGGAGAGTTTGAAATTTGGAGAGTTTGACATTTGAGAAGTTTGGGACTTTGGAAGGGTGGGATTTGAGAAATTTGGGAATTTGAGGAGTTTGGGAATTTGAGAAGTTTGGGACTTGGGGAGTTAGGGATTTGAGAAGTTTGGGATCTGGGAAATTTAGGAATTTGAGAAGTTTGGGACTTGGAGAGTTTGGAATTTGGAGAGTTTGACATTTGAGAAGTTTGGGACTTGGGAAGGGTGGGATTTGAGAAATTTAGGAATTTGAGGAGTTTGGGACTTAGGGAGTTTGAGATTAGAGAAGTTTGGGACTTGGGGAGTTTGGGATTTGAAGAGTTTGGCATTTGAGAACTTCAGGATCTGGGAAATTTGGGAATTTAAGAAGTTTGAAATAGTAGCTCTTCCAAACACCTGGGTCGACTATTTCATAAGCCAACACGTAGATTGATGCAGATATGTAGATAAAGATAAGAATTAAAGTGACATGAAGATATAAAGAGGATATTGAAATGTGACAATACATAGATTTCAAGATATTTGGAAGTACGGTCATATAGGTATCCAGAAATGAGATTTTATAATACAAAAATTTATGACTATAGAATCTCCTGGATATACAGATCCACATATACAAATATACGAATGTAGTCTTTCAGAAAAGTATCTCAAACACCTGGTCCCACGCGCCAACATGTGGGTTGCCATCGGTACTTATCCCGAGGATACATAAGTCCTACGATTTCGTAGCGCTTCTGCAGGATGTTATCTCGAGATTTATGAAATAGCGTGTAGTACAAGACTCGAACGACGGCCTTGTACCATAGATTCAATCTACTATCGCTGTCAAGGTGGACGATTACGTAATCCAGCTACGAGATAGCAGAGACGGGTCTTATATTCGTGAACGGTCGTTCGACCTTGCCCACTGCTTCGGCTTCCTCGTTCCTTCTCTTCGCCCTCCTCTTTCAGTTTTAATTCATCCTCGAATCCGTTATCTGTCTCGGATTGATCCGTCGCTTCGGACCTCCTTTGCGCAATCTCGTTTCTGGTTGCGTGACTTGATCGTTTACCCGGTCATTCAATTATTCGTGTTATGGAATTTTGAAATGTGGGAATCTATGGCGTCGCGAGGACTTTTTGAAATTCTAAACTTCTTTGTATTCCCAAATTCCTACATCCCCATATCTCCAAACCTCATATTTCCAAATCCCCAAATAAATTCAAAGTTTCCCAAGGACTCGTTTCCCTGCGCTTGATAAATTTCCCTATGCGCCCGATTAGATTCCAAACGATTACACCGTGGAGACTAGTGTTTCACGTCGTGTCGTGACCGCGGGAGACTTCGTTTATCCGATCGATTAACCGTGCTAGCTGCCACCTTTTACTCGACAAATTTCCCTGTTCCTCTATTTTCCCCAGCGAACGCAAATCCCGACTCTCCACGCGATATTAAAATGATTAGTCGCTTCCTGTGTCGAACACGATACGCGTCCCTGTTATCGTCGCTTACGAGGGAAACATCGCGTAACACTTTCGCGGCTGGTAATTTTCATCTGGCTCGAGAATGAAGATACCTATTGGACGATTCACTTTTTTTTCAATTTTAATTACACAGATCGGCGTGTTGAAAATAAGAGTATACGTCGTGGAGCATGGTGGACTTCAAGTTGTAATGAATCTATGGCTGCGTCTCAATATTCATTTTGACATATGTGGATGTCGATAGTAGTTCGTTTTAATGTTCTCTTGATGTTACTGGAGTATGGTACGTCTCAATGTACTGCATTTCTTAGAATTTTAAGATGTGGAGATCCTTCATAGGTTCTGAAAATTCTAATATTATCAGGTCGTAATGTTCTTAGGTGCCAATGTTACTTGACCTAATGTCCTCAGGTTCAAACCTTCCCTAGAGACCTGGTACTAGTACTCTAATATCATCAGGTCCTATTATTATTAGATCTCAATGTTACTAGACCTTATATCCCTAAATCCAAATATTCAGAGAGTCCAGTAGCTGAGATACCAACCTAGATACTAATAGTCGAGATTTAAATCAACCTTAGAGATTTAGATCAACCTTAAACCAACCTCCCTCTGTTCTCCCCATACCTTCTCCCAATATTCTCTCCCCAAATACAAGTTTATCGTAAAACACAACTCCTCGAAGAGTTACAATATCGCTCCGCTGAAATATTAAATAAAGACCGACGTGATCCTTTGATCTTTCCAAGTATTGCGGCTCACGGTGGCTTCGGTCCGACCGGTATCGATTAACAAAATTTTTGTCGCGCACCACGTAATTAGCATTCGAAGCCGTGCGTTGCAACACGCGGCAGCATAAATTTCCGCGTGTTGAAACGGTAGGATTTTCTGAAATTGCCACGCGCAGACCATAAATATCGACGGCGTAACGGAGGAGCCGTTTCGCGTGTACGGAAGACCCCTGTTAACGAGGGAGTTTAGAGGTCACGTCGGGGTCACTAATTAGTCGAAGCGATACAGCGAACTGTTGAATGTTTTTACATCGACGATGAATATTATGCAATTTACTTAATTATGTAAGATCGTAATCTCGCAATGAACTTTCACAACGGTGTGGAGTTTTTCAAACTGTCTGGAGATGAATTCGCGAAAGGTGTTCGGAGAATCGAGATGTATTATTAGGCTGCCTCCGGGCAACCTGTAGCCCTCTTCAAAACGTGCTCTACCCTCGTCATGCTCAAAGAATCGCCACCCTCAATGGACCCTCGAAACCTCTCTTGTTCTCGAGAATGCCCTTCAGAGGAGCTCTTCAACCCCTTTGTACGAAATTTCATACTGGCGGAGTCTAGTGGAAATTTGATCGACTCAGCAGAATATTCGAGGGTCAACATTGTCATCCTTTCTTGACCACTTTGTGGAATTATCTTAGAGACACAAATTATAAGTTTGATTTAGTTTTACTAATTGTAGGAACTTGTGGATAATAGTAGATGTTGCAACATGTGTATTGATATGTGTCTATGTATACACATGTGTGACAATATGGTTCTTATGTTCATGATGAAAATGTATGGCGATGAATGACGTTATGGAAGGTTTTAGTTGGATGTGGACCGAGAGTGTTTATCAAGAAAATTGTTGCTTTTGCAACATGTGTGTTGATATGTGTCTATGTATACATATGTGTAACAGTAAGCTTTTTATGTTCATGATGAAAATGATGAATGACGTTATGGAATGCTTTATTTGGACGTGGATCAACAGTGTTTATCAAGAAAATTGTTCCTTTTGCAACATGTGTATTGATATGTGTCTATGTATACACATATGTGACAATATGGTTTTTATGTTCATAATGAAAATGTATGACGATGAATGACATTATGAAAGGTTTTAGCTGGATGTGGACCAACAGTGTTTATTAAGAAAATTGTTTCTTTTGCAACATGTGTATTCACATATATATCTATGTATACACATGTGTAACATCATGGTTTTTATCTTCATGATGAAAATTATGAATGACGATGAATGACATTATGGAAGGTTTTAGCTGGATGTGGACCAACAGTGTTTATAAAGAAAATTGTTTCTTTTGCAACATGTGTATTCATATATATATCTATGTATACACATGTGTAATATCATGGTTTTTATGTTCATGATGAAAATTATGAATGACGATGAATGACGTTATGGAAAGTTTTTGTTGGATGTGGACCGAGAATGTTTATTAAGAAAATTGTTGTTTTGTAATTGGTTACATTTAAATTGTAATAACATTCCGAAGATTGTATGTATCTATTTGGAAATAATTATGAGTACCTGAGTTTTGAATATTATCTGATTTATGTATTGTTTTTGTACAAGTTGATTATACTGAAAATTAGGTAAATAATATATTATGTAAAGCAATAATTTACTATTAAGGATAGAGTAGAAGTATCAAAGTAGATCTTCAAAGTCCCCAACGTCCCAGGTCCTCTGTCTCCCACAACTAAATAAAGCCCACAATACAACTGCACAAAGCACAGTAATGCAAAGTATTAACTTAATACAAAGCTGCTATATTAAATTCGAATGAAATTCCATGTATTGCAGGTACAAGAGGGGCCAGTGTCACCGGCGTCCTCCTCCCTGAGCAACCAAAATCAAAACGAGAGCGAGCAACAGGTGTTGCTGGCAACGATGCAGCCAGTGAACGTATTAGACCTGCACGAGCCATCCTCGGTGCACTCTCTCCACCCGAAATACCACCATCACCACCACCGTCACCACCACCATCACCACCACCACCACCACCCTCAGCACATTCAAACCGACCCCGACGACGTTCAACAACGCGCCGGCGACGACACCGACGGCCGCGTAACACCAGGCGGTGACGCGTCTTCCGCGAACTCGACGCTGGGCGTCGGCGAGCACAAGATGATCGACCTGATCTACAACGACGGTCAGAAGACCGTCATGTACACGCACGACAAGGAGATCATTTATGAGAACGAGGCTGATCGGGTGCAGGTGGTTGAGTATCCACCACCGCCACCATCACCACCCTCGCCGACGACGCCCTCCGCGGTCACCAGAGCTGGACTGCTGCCCCCGACGTGTGTGACACCTAGATCTGGCTCGACTACTACGGCCCTGCACCTGCATCATTATCCGCAGCTTCAGCTGCAGCATGAGGATGATCTTCCACCTGGGGTACGCCACGCTGTTAATGCTACTGTGCCGAATTGTGGAGCGGCGACTACGACTACTACGGTTCTGGTGCTGTCTGAGCTGGTGGCTGCTGATCCTGCGGCGGGTGCGGCCGCTGCGCAGCAACTTACACTCACTGCCGCTGCTGCTGCTGCTTCACTCAGGGCGGGGTAAGTGATCAAGGCTTTTACATAGTCAAGGTTTTAATATAGTTTTGAAAATGGAGGAGGTCGAAGGCTGTGATGTTGAATGAGGCGGTTTAACGATCTGAAGTTGGATGAGGAGGTCTAATGCTCTGATTTTGGATGAGGAGGTCTAACGATCTGATGTTAGATGAGGAGGTCTAACGTTCTGATGTTAGATGAGGAAGTCTAACGATCTGATGTTGGATGAGGAGGTCTAACGTTCTGATGTTAGATGAGTAGGTCCTCCTTGCACGAATAGGTGCAATGTAGGTGCATTGTGACGTGGTACAAAAGAACAGAATGTCGAGTTGACGTTCGCTGATTACGAAGCAAATGAGATTGTCGATTTTTGCGAATTAGTACCTGGTCCACCTGTTGGAGGCTGAATCGACTGGTATCTGATTTAGTATCAGCTCGGACTTCATCTGGGTTTTAGCTGGGATTAGGTTTTAGGTAGATATGGGTTCTAGGTAGATCTAGGTTCTACACAGGACTAGATCTAGGCTTAATCTGGGTCTTATGTAGTTTTAGGTTCTAACTAGAGCCAGGGTCTGGTTGGGTATGGGTTCTGGTTAGGTCTAGGTTGATCTAGGCTTCATCCAAGTCTCATCTCATTTTAGGTTCTAGCTAGGACCAAGTCCGAGTTGGGTATAGGTTCTGGATAGGTCTAGGTTGATCTAGGCTTCATCCAAGTCTCATCTCATTCTAGGTTTGAGTTGGGTATAGGTTCTGGATAGGTCTAAGTTGATCTAGGCTTCATACATGTCTCATCTACCTCTAGGTTCTAGTTAGAACTAGGGTCTAGTTGAGTATGGGTTCTGAATAGGTCTAGGTTGATCTAGTCTTAATCTATGTCCTAGCTGATTCCAGGTTCTAACTTCTAATTCCAGGAGCTACATTGTTGTTAGATGTATGTTCTCGATAGGTGTAGGTTGATATAGGTTTAATCTAAATCCTAGCTAATTCCAGGTTCTAATTGTAGCCGCATTGTTGTTAGCTATACGTTCTGAATAGATCTAGAACACCTTTAAACCTGGATTTTCTCTGACTTTCAGCTTTCGTCAGGTTTAAGTTTTTCCTAGATCCAGCTTTCACTTGGATCTATCTTCTCTAAATCTACATTTGTCTTACGTGTTTCCAAAGTCACAAGAAAATGATACTCCTCTCTGTGTCTTAACAGAAGTCCTCCTCTCTGTCCACTTAACAGCATCTGATCAAGTTCGATTCATTTCCATAATCATATTTATTTTACAAACAGCAAAATAAAATAGGATCAACATTGATATTAACATACATTAATAACGTGAGAGATAATAATCTGATACTGACTTCATCATACATTACTATCCAATATTCCTTATAATATAGAACGAAAGAACACTCAACTGACATTTGACGATCTGCAACATATCAAGATCTTGAACGTCGCCTTCACACACAGACATACAGAAATATTCCTTCATATTTATCGTTCACTATTTATGCTGAACACACATGAAACTTCACTCTATTACGCTAATCGTACGACATTAAATTATCACCGTTCGATCAACATATCTCTATCATGTTCATTGTCACTAGCCACTTGAATTTATTGCTTTACGAATGCTTAAAAACGTTGTCAAATTATACGGAATTGCTTCAGCGAGAGATACGAAATCTACGTTGAAAGATTGGATAAAGGTCAATTGACCTACCTACGACAACCTGCAGTGTCACGTTGGGGATTCGAACTTTTGCTAAATATGTGATTTAATGAAACAAGTGCTTAGGTGTACAAGGTGGTTATGTTCAAATTTTTAATTGGCACATTTTTACATTTTTACATTTTTACATTTTTACAATTTGACAATTTGATAATTTGACAATTTTATAATTTGACAATTTTATAATTTGACAATTTGACAATTTGATAATTTGACAATTCGACAATTTGATCATTTTTCAATTTTTCAATTTTTCAATTTTTCAATTTTTCAATTTTTCCATTTTTCAATTTTTCAATTTTTCAATTTTTCAATTTTTCAACTCCTCAATTTTCCAACCCTTCAAGTTTCCAAACTTTCAAGTCTCCAACCCTTCAAATTTCCAACTCTTCAAGTTTCCAACTCTGCAATTTTCCAACTCTTTAATTTTCCAACTCTTCAATTTTCCAACTCTTCAATTCTTCCATTCCTCAATTCTTCAGTTCTTCAATTCTCCAATTCTTCAATTCTTCCATTCCTCAATTCTTCAGTTCTTCAATTCTTCAATTCTCCAATTTTTCAATTTTTCATTTCTTCCATTTTTCAATTTTTCAATTTTTCAATTTTTCAATTTTACATTTTCAAATTTGATAATTTTCAAGGTGGAAACTTTTTAGTAACACAGCACACTAAAGATGGCGGTGCTTGAACAAAAAACCAAAGACAAACCAGCACCCTCACAAATGACAGATCCAATGTCACTTTGTTAATAAATCTAACTTTTTAACTAATAAGCGTTAACTTTGTCAAAAGTAAACTATAAAATATAAAACTATAATAAAATATAAAAATGCAGTCAAATATAAAAATGCAGTAAAAAGGGTTTAAAAGTGCGACAGAGCAGTATTCAATCTGTTTCGAATCTTGAAGCATACAAAACAGTGAACAAGCAAAGCTCGCGAATGGGAACGGTCGCGTGCAACCATACGGAAAAATAAAATTCCACTTCAGAGGCATATGGCCGTTGTCGCGATTCGTATTAAGGCTCGGCCACGGCGTGGAAAATCGTATCGCTCCATAATAAGCCGTAAAGTATCCGCGAAAAGCGG